CATGGTTAGCCAGGCGAATGGCACATCTTAACACAAATTTTAACCTCTCACAGAATCTGTTTAGCGCGGAATATATTACTTACTCCTTTATGATATTGTTTAAGTTCACGATATCTTTGTGCGCTTATTCTGGTGAACGCGATTTTAAAATTGGCCGAATCAAGAGCCGTCGTTTACCCCGAGAAACCGCCTGGAACCTGATAAACTTTCGAGATATACCGTTAATAATTGTACGCCCTCGGGCTGTTGTAGGCTGTGAGGCATGAGCCGCTTTAAAACAAGTTCTACTACCAAGTCTGGAGTTATGTGAAATATGCGGGTCCCGAGTCGATAAGACTGACACTAGGTCCTCTTTAAAATTTCTTACTTTCCGTTCTAAATGTTAAATAAGCTGGAGAGAAAGGGAAGTGACGGACAATCTGGAGGTTATAAATGTTGTTCAGTCTACTACCCTTGCCTCTGTTGACAAATAGGTGAAGTTGGGTGAGGCTTCACTTTAAGTTTCGTTCTGTTTCTCATTTACACCACCGCGAGCACTTCTCAGATCGGACCTGTCAAGTTTGAAACGTTTGAACTTTGTTTGACTCGGTTGTGGTTGATTAGTTGAGCTTAGTGTGTTTGTTGGGGAGCGCGTGTTGGCTGAGTTAATGTTTTGTGGCAGTAGGTGGGGGATGAGAGGTACGGTCGAGTTACGAGGTGTCATCCGGGAACCTACCTCCACTTAGTATGGATCGTTACCTACTTACAATGTGTTAATAGAATTGAGTTCAATGAATTATTAGGTGTCTAGATGGGAGAAATGAGAAGAGAATTCGTGAGACTGTAGCTGTTGTGAGTGGAAGGGAAATGTCATGTGACCCTGGAATGCGTGAGGTGATTGGTTGCTGATTTTTCCAATCGTGTTCTGATTGGTTGGTAGACATGTTATGACGTGGTTTGCCGGTCGGTTTGGTCCGATGGTGTAGCCTGGTACAGTCCTAATAAATGTTGATATTCACTACTACCGACATGGATCACGTGATCCCGACATGGCTCACGTGATCCCCACGTGTTCTCTCTGGACCAATGAGAAGTACACGTGCGCGTCTCGTGGCCTTGTTGAAGTTTACCCCAAAAACTGACAGGCTTGCTGTCCCTAGTGATACACTGTGCTGGAGCTGCTGGCGAGAACTGTGTTGTAAAATATTTCACTAAATCGAGCTGCCAATGTTAGATAAGGAGTCCGACTTAGAAGTACTTTGTTGAAATCGAAGGGCTTCTAACTTTTCATTCAGGCCTATCCCGCCAGCATATCGTTGAGTTGTTCGATAATTTTTGATTTAAACAATTAGTTTGCTTTGTTTCAGTTTGAATGACTGTCTCTCTCTCTTTGGTTGTTTCTCCCATGCTCGTTATTTGGGTGGGTAGATATAAATACTTTCATTTTAGATTGTCAATTTGCCACTCTTAAAATAGTCTGCTTATATAAGAGGGTGCTCCGCAGCCATCTTTAAATTAATAACTATAAAAGTATTTAAAATAGATAAATTGAAATCTTTGAGTTTTGGGAATCGTTAGTTCTCCAATATTTTTTGGATATTAGGGCGTTATCTTTATCGTCTGGCTGCGAGTGAATTAAAATCGTTCAACTTTCTGATTCACCTATGTTTGCCTTCTTTTTTAATCACTATGGCGAGCTTATTTATAAGCTCGCCATAGTGATTATAAAAGAAGAATACTTAAGTATGATGGTAAATATCGCTAATTGATTTTGAAATATTTTAATTGATGAAGTTTTTAGAAGTTGGAACATTTATAGTTCCCGCTGAATTTTTTTTACGGAGGGAAATCATAACCAGCTTTTTTAAAAGAGTATTTAAATAAATTAAACATCGGGGATATCTGAAATGCAAACGAATTTAAATGCAGAAAAATTTACGAGAGCCAACCCTTTTTTATACAGTTCGGTTCTCAATATTCACTATTTAAATCATAGTTCTTTACAAAATCGAATCACAAACAATTTTTTTAGAATATGAAGGTGGTGTCATCATGTGACAGAGAAAAGTCCACTAGTGTTCTCGAAAATTACCAATTTTTAATGGTGGTGGTACAGTAAAATCCTGATTTACCGCAAACCCAGATTTACCGCAAACCCCGATTTACCACAAACCCTGATTTACCGCGGCCATCTCCTTTCCCCAAATATCTCTTTTAACAGTTAACATGCATAATGTAAACAAAGAAAACCCCAATTTACCGGCATATATTTCGTTTCTCCCAAACTCTGCGCTAAATCGGGGTTTTACTGTACATACAAGTCTTTAATTTCATGATTATATTTCCAATGTGACCATGACTCGTATAATCAGTGACATAAAATTAATTTTGTGTAATATTATTATAACTAACAACTATTTAAAAAGAATACGCCTACGAAATTATAAAATATGGAATAATGATTAGAAATTATTTTTACAACTATCCCCCGTGGCGAATACCATTTTTATCGGTAATTCGACCGTTTGAGGTTGCATTGTTCTTCATTTTCAGTTGGCATCAGTATTAATTAAGTCTCACAGCTGTAGTCTCAATGAGATTACCATTTCAAAAAAGCTCCAGCGAGACATAGATTAAAAGATACGGTTATTTTTAGATGAGCTGCATTTTTTGTAGTTTGGGACCCTCCGATGAGACAGCTCAATAGATATAGTTATTTTTAGATGAGCTAATTTATGGTTTTGTGTCTCAATTGGGGGACCTCCCCTAAAATATAATTATAATCAAAATCTGCATAAAACCAAAAAGCCAAAAGTATTATACATATTCCTGCACTCCAACAACATCAAGCATTTCAGTAACTATTCTTAAGAATTATTTTTGGGATGCAGCTGCACCACATCGCCACATATCCTCGCATCAGTCACCTGTCGAATTTATAAAAGATTTAAAAGGAACTCACTTTGACTCTGATAACGCGACATACTGACTGCACCACGTGACTCAAAGTTAGCTGGCTGAGACTAACCGCTTTTCTCAAATCTCTATATAAACGTTTCCTCCAAGCTCTCTGTTATATCATTTCGAGTTATATCCTTCAAAATTTGTTGCATTGCGGTTTGCGATCCGGGGGAGAGTCATGTGATTTGAGCGTATTTAAAAATCGTATAATTTTAAAGACTTCGTCTGTGGATAGATCCAATCAGAGAACTGAATTGTAACTTTTACGACTTATATCATAGGCAGAACGTTAAATACGACTGTCTAACTAAGATAGTGCTCTTGAGTGTAGTTGAGAGCAGCTACAGGGGAGTCATTCTGAGATATTGCTCTGTGGTTTTGTTCGGTATGTCAGTGTTGGATGATTTTATTGGTTACTGAAAGATGTTACTGGTTACTTGGTGGTATTACTGGTTACTTGGTGGTGATACATGAAGTAGATGTTAGTATTACTAGATGGTGTGTATTGTTACAAGGATATGAGACTGGTTACTAAAAGATTTGTTACTAGTTGCACACTCTTTCCTGATTTGTGGACTGGACTTTTGAGAGTTTTACTCTGAATCGTAACAATTTTATGTGTAAGAATTACAATAAGATGCAATTTTTCCGGAAGTATTGACTTTTTAATGCTTTCAAACCGTTTTAAAATCTCTAAGAGGGAACGGATCACGTATTGAAATTGGTTAAAGTTCTAAGAGAAGAGAGCACGTTTTAAAATCATTTTCGAGTAAAACTCATTTTCTCACTCTCAAATTTCATTACACTCAAGTATATAAAGAAATTTCGATTTGATTCTCAATGATGATGTGTCATTGAAAGAGAAAAATACTTTTAAACACAAAAATATCCATTATCTCCGCTGACGCAGAATTTTGTATTCCTCCTTTTTGTTTGTAAGATTTAAATTATGTAGATAGGATTTCACATAGACGTTGTTCAAGCTGCGACTTGCAACAAACCATTTACCTTGCTATCACGAGGTTGACTCGATTGCCACTTAAGAGTCAATGGTAATCGTTTCTGTTATTTATGTCACCATAACTCCAGTTTGATAGGCTTTGTTTTACTGGCATTTTATTGGGAATCATTTTATGTGTCTTCTTGCATTTTCGAATCCCGTCAGGGTTTAAAGATAGATTTTTTTAAAGATTATAAATGTAAACTCTTGAAGCGTGCCGGCATGTATTTACCCAAGCTTAAACCGATTCTTTATTTTAATTTGTCGTACCGAACAGGTGTTAAACTGCTCGGTTCAGCAATGATATCCTCCAACCTGGGTTGAAATGTATCACGTGACCCCTTATACCAGTGTCACGTGACCCGATAGGCCGTTATTCCATGGTCACGTGTGATGTGCGGCAGCACGTGCGAAACCAGGAAAAAGTGTGCTCGTCTGTCTTTACAGTGCCATTAAAAAGTTAGGTGCGGGAAACACCCCCTCGCACATGTGGAGAGAGAGAGAGAGGGATAATAGTTGTAGAGAGAGAGAGAGAGAGAGAGAGAGAGAGAGAACACATGTAATAAAAATAACACGCGTTATAGATCTTGTTAACTGATGAGAGAGAGAGAACAGTGCCATTATAGTTAGAAGGTCCTGATCGGAGCTGTAGAACTTTCTGAAAAGGGGAAATGTCATGCTCTCTCCCCCCGTCTCCTTTACAATAGGAAGTTGGTATTACCTCCCATGTGACAAGGAGCTCTCCCATTATCTCGCCTGCTTTACCGGCCACATGGACACAGTCCTCTCACATGGGCACACTCCTCAGTCCTCACCCTCCACTCTTATTCTACCACTTTTCTTTCTGATCCGACTGATTTTCAATCGGAGGGACTTTTTCTGTTGTTGCACCTCGTTTGTTAAGGGATTAGTTGGTATTTCATATTATTCATCAGCTGTTATAATTTCGAAAATATACTATACTTTCGTTTTTGATCACTTGACAATAACACTATATTATCCCGTTGGTATTACTTAATTGTAATGATGTAACCGATCTATTAACATATCATAATTGTTTAGCAATATGAACGGAAAGCGAGTAACACCCTTCCAGAGTTGGTTAGACTGGAACCCAGAACACCGCATGTTATACAGATTCATTATCAGGTAATTAATTAACTAATTAATTACTTTACTACTTACTTAATTATTGTGATTATGTTGTCCAAGGACCAAGTTGTTAGATAAGTTGCACGGAAAATTAATCCAAGAACTTGGTCCTTGGACACCTCTAGAACTTGATTTACCTTGAACAAAACTTAACATTTTATTAATTTTGCTTCATATTTTAGATTATCAGTTGGTGAAAATGTTGTTGAGGCTTTAATTTTTTATTAGTAATTAAAGTTTTTTATGATAAGATGTAATGAATGTTGGTTGGATGTACACATATAAGTTTAATGTGGTATAACCAGCTCAGTGTGGTCTGCTATAAATCCAATATGATATGCTCATGTTGAATCTTATAAATAACAAAACTTAAACCGACTAAGTTAACATCATAATTGATACCTTGCTCTACAACAGGTGTCCATTTATGTCCAATAAGAACGCGAACGGTTTCAAAATTTTCCATTAAGGAAACTTTTCTCAAACCATTTTCCCGCCAGTCCCTCATGAACAAACATTCTGAAAATATTACAAACGGCCACAGACACCAATAACATGGCTGCTTTACCTTCCACAGACTTTTCAAAGCACGAAAAGTTCACATTATCGGTTATAATTAAGTAAGTCTGCTAGAACGAGGAGTACCATGAGTAAATTGCACGCCTTCCTGGGTGATTGGACTGGTTAGTTCTATAACTACTATTATAATTACTTATTTAGATCTGGTAGAGTTGGAAAAATGAACTGAAAAGGTTATAACTTGATGTGGTTTATCCCCACGAGCTAAATTCGGATGAACTTCAAATGTCACATATGTTCATTAATAAAGTCTCATGATATATGAGTTTTAATGGTATCCCCCGATTGTTAGTTCCTGAAAAGGATCTGTTGCTATTTTGGCAGTTTGCCAGTCTACAATACACTTGGTCACGTGACACCCCGTACGATCCCCTGTGGAACTTTCTGGAAGCCACCATGAAGCTGAAAAACTGTGGAAAAGTTAAAAACAGCTAGGTTTATGTGTGGACAGGACATGGGGAGAGTTCAGTGGCTTTGTATAGGTCGGAGCATGCCTTTATCAGGTTTTATGGACTTCTCACCAACTCCCCGGCTCCGGCAGGCCGTGCTCGGTGAACTTCTGAAAAACTCCAATCAAAACCGAGGCATTTAAACAGCTTCGAGACGGGAATAAGTACCATTTAGCTTTCAAATCCTTAGAGGTGGTATGCTATATATAGAGCTGTGACATAAGGGCCCTGTAGAAAGTGGCGCCTTATTGAGTTTAGTGAATGAGATAATTCGATGAGATGGCATTACTGGTGCGGCGAAGCGTGAACCGCTAAAAGGGGGGTCACGGTGCTCCTCCTACTTACTCGATGTGTCTTTTCCTGAGATTTAATTACCGTTTACAAATAATTTGAATGGTCGGTAATTTTTTAATGTCTGAAATGAAAGTAAGTTTCATTCTAATTGTGTCCAGATTAAATAAATTGGATTTAGGAGCAGTCTAGACCACGGTATTATGAGGTACAACCTACCAACCAGCACTAAACCTGTCTCAGTTTGAGTCGGTGTGTCGATATGTTTAGTTGTATTTGTTTCTACCTTTCTCAGGCCATTGTGTGGGTCAAAGTAATGATTTTATTCTTATTTTTGGGAGTAATTTTTACCGTAATTTAAGTCTAAGTTTTATGCACCGTACCGTTACCAAATAATGGGTTTATTTTTTATTTTGGGTGTGATTTTTATCAAGGAGGTAATGATTAGACATTGGTTGTTACCTTCACCACGCACTGAAACAGTAATTAATTGTTGAGATGTTGAACTACTCTCCTAACTGGTTAATTAATTGGATAATTACATTTCAGTCAGCTTCACTTTGACGGTCTGAGTACGATAGCCCTGGTCCTGGCCCAGTCCCTCCACCAGATCAACAGTGTTAAACCCAGCAACGATCTCAGTCAATTAGTCAGCATGTGTGTACAGTGGGGACAACAGGCTGGCAACTCTACTGGTTTGTTAATCTATTTGTTTCTCTTTCACTATTTCTTTCACTTTCTCTTTCACTTTATATCCTTGTAATTTTTCTCTCGCTCTTGGTATTGTGTAAATTATCTTAGTACTTTCCTCATTGTTAATCTTGAGTGCTAGTTTGAAGTTTGCTAGTATCAAATGTTGCGATCTGTAATCATTTGCCCAAAGTGTGAGATGAATATTTTCATTTCATTTGTCAATATTGCCTGAAAAATCTCCAGGGTACACGATGAATATTTTCATTTCATATGTAAATATTGGTTGAAATACAAATGCGATCACTTTCTATTAAAAACTGTTTCACATATTGATCACAGTCATGGTTCATTAGAAATTAGTTTCACTCTAATCTAGTTTTTCACAATATGGCTTCTCCCCGGCCGTTGTCACTGCAATACCCAATATACTGTATCATGCAACTGGTAATAAATCGGTCAATCTTAATCCAATTTTCACAGCTATTTTGAGGTCAATTTTCCGACGTTTCCTATCCTATCAAGTCTCTTTTAATGTAATAGAGAAAAATACAATTAATTCAGACGTGTTTTCTCACGCTATTGTTATATTGGAAATGTCTTGGCATAGCACGGGTGAAGAAACTAGAATATTCTGCACCCACTCTGCCCTAGAATTTACAGAGTCAAAGAATTATTTGAGGGATTTTAGAACTAAGATTCGTTAGAAATAAGATGAAGCGCATGCTAATATTTATCCGGGTAGCAACTGGCTTTCAGCCGGTCACTGACCGGCTCTACGCTTCTGAACCAAAATATTTGCCAGCAATTATTCAACTATGCCATGTAACGGTGACCACATGCGCAGTGAATCCGGGTATTCGGGAGGATATTTTGGTGATTTCATCCTAATGTCTTAGAACATAGATGTTAAGAATAAATCCTCCTGTAAATGAAGGAGATTTAAAAATGCGTGGATTGTCGACAGGCCACCCTGAAAACTGTTGACGGTTTACAGTATCTATCACCGTCTGATCAAGTGATAAGACCCAAAAAGTGATGCAATGAAAATTTAGCCCTGTTGAGAAGGGTGCTGGGTGCACGAGGTGTCAAAGTTCAAAAACCTGACAACTGTTTTTTATCAGATCTGTCAATCAGCTGGTCCGATTGGAAGCTGTCAATAAGTAGAGTTAACGAGATATCCAATGAACTGATAGTGGGGGGAACAGCTGGGCTCTGTAGTAGGGCACCATATCTCACCACGTGCATGTGGCTGTGAGGATCACAAACTCCCTCTCTCAAAATATCCCGCACTATATCGCACTTTATCGTACTATATCGCACTTTATCGCACCTAGCATTTAGTCCTTGAATGACCCTGCTCTTTCCCATAACTGCACAACATACTAAGTCTATAATACGTAGCAGGCTCATAACATCACTACCTGGTATTAGAATTAGCATTTATCACTTAACCCCCAGTGTCCACTAATACCGGCCTAGTTGTCAGAGTGTGAAAGGCTTGTTTTCCAGCTCTGTGTTGACAGAGGGGTTCAAGGTTTCCTCGGATTTGAGACGCCCTGTTCCGCTCGTCAGAGCTGGCTAAACGTGTATTATTGTATATCATGTGATGCAGAGAGAGAGAGAGAGAGAGAGAGAGTGAGAGTGAGAGTGAGAGAGAGAGTGAGAGAGAGGGAGAGTTCTGCTTTTATACTTATAGCTCCTTTTAAAATGCCCTCTATCTTGGCTTGTAGCTGTTAACTTGTGGTACGAATAAAGGCGGGTAAGCTCTGAGATTTGATATAAATGTCATTATTACCGTTTCCTATACCTTATCGGACCAGTCAACATATATCAGATATTATCATGTATACTAGTGCAATTGAGCAGTCTTCAAGTCTCCACTGTCTTATCACAGACCCATATAACCGACACTAAATCATAGTTTAACCCTTTCTGACACGTATTTTAAGTAGCTATTTGCTCTGCACGTATTTATCTTGAAAGAGACGGAAACCTGTGCTGAATTCCTCGGCTCACCCAACATTTTCATACTCTTCAAATGGGAACAGCTCGTGGTATTGTGGGGTTTCCCTCAGCCGCTCTCAGCCGTGCCACGTAGGGAGAATATTCGGAACATAGAGAGTCTGGGAGAGTTTAGCTGAGTTTTAAAGAGGTGCAAACAGCTGATTTGTTGGGATCTAGACCGCAGGGGAGGGAGAGTGTGCTGGTCAGATATGTGTCATCCCTCTACACTTTCTTCTCTCTAGCAGAGGGGAGAGAGAGTTTGAGAGAGAGAGTGAGAGAGAGAGAGAGGGAGAGAGGGAGACAGATGTTGAAATGTTGTTTCCCTCCCGTCCCCTCTCTCCCCTTTTTTTTCTCTCTCTCTCTCTCTCTCTCTCTCTCTCTCTCTTTTAATCTCTCTGGCTCCCCCTCATACAGCTCCATCTCTGTCAATCAAGTGTTTAAAATTCTAAAATCTGTCATGATCAAAATGAAGAGTTTAATGACGAGCCAAAAAATAACCAGAATCTTTGCTGGTATTAAAGTCTCAACTTGTCACAGCCATAACCGATTACCGAGTTAGAGGAATGAACATACCACGGTGCAGTATGATATTATGGTGGGTTATATTTATCATGATTGGAGTTATTGGGTTAAGCGACAATTTTCATACCCGGGAAGCGAAGAGTTTAGCTGTGTGCCTCATTAAAAAGATCGCTATCAAACCTGCGATTATATAAGTATCTCTTTAAATAGGTAAACGTTTTTGGCTGAGTGCAGAGCATCAAAAATGTTTATCCACCAATCGCAAGCTCTCGTACAAATCCTCATATCAAAAATCTTCGACCTCTCTGATTTAGCGTAAGATAGCATTTGTAGTTATGCGATGCTCAGTAAACCATCATGTTCAATCAATCTACAAAAATATGCTGTGCCAGGAAGTGCTGCCTATTGGTTTATCTCTGTCACGTGTGTCAGGAAGTGCTTCCTATTGGTTTATCTCTGTCACGTGTGCCAGGGAGTGCTGCCTATTGGTTTATCTCTGTCACGTGTGCCAGGAAGTGCTGCCTATTGGTTTATCTCTGTCACGTGTGCCAGGAAGTGCTGCCTATTGGTTTATCTCTGTCACGTGTGCCAGGAAGTGCTGCCTATTGGTTTATCTCTGTCACGTGTGCCAGGAAGTGCTGCCTATTGGTTTATCTCTGTCACGTGTGCCAGGAAGTGCTGCCTATTGGTTTATCTCTGTCACGTGTGCCATGAAGTGCTGCCTATTGGTTTATCTCTGTCACGTGTGCCAGGAAGTGCTGCCTATTGGTTTATCTCTGTCACGTGTGCCAGGAAGTGCTGCCTATTGGTTTATCTCTGTCACGTGTGCCAGGAAGTGCTGCCTATTGGTTTATCTCTGTCACGTGTGCCAGGAAGTGCTGCCTATTGGTTTATCTCTGTCACGTGTGCCAGGGAGTGCTGCCTATTGGTTTATCTCTGTCACGTGTGCCAGGGAGTACTGCCTATTGGTTTATCTCTGTCACGTGTCGAATAATTTTTTCCAGTTTTCAGGTCTAGTAGTTAAGCCTGTTATGTGATAATGAAAGATATTCTGTGAAATATATTAGTGCTTAATTCTTGGTTGATTATTTAACGCAATAATATCTGTATCCTTTAGAATTCTGTCAGCAAGAAGCAGTAATGAAATTTGTTTCTTGGGATTGCAAACCAAGTTCTAAGAAAAATTGTGAAAATAACCTGTTCCATAATTTCTGGTCGGGCTGAAAAAAGCTGATTGGTTTTCTGTATAACATCAATAATTAACATCCAGATACATATATATTGTTTATTGGTGAACTACATAGAAAGATTTGCATCACGAGCCAGTTAATCAATCTAGTGCGTCATTCCTGTTTAACAAAAATTTCAATAATTTTCTTGGGATCACTGACGAAAGCAAATTTGCTTACATATAATAGTTCATATATCACGGCTTTTAGAAATAAATTTGCAATAATTTAGATACTAAAATGATGGTGAACTTACAGTGGGTTCCTACAGAGTGCTGTATGAGTAATGCAAATGATCTCCGGTCAAGTCAATCTTGGATTTAAGATTATACCCGAAGAAGATTAGTTCCCGTATTGGCGTATTTGTCCCTATTTCACATTCGGTAACACGAACTTGTGCTTATTTGTTCACGAATGTATCTCTGTGAAACTTCAAACATGCCCTCAACATTTCACTTATCCAGCTAATTATCAAATTATCAAGTTACCCAATTAAATGTAAACTAGCGGATAAGACGAAGCAGACACTGAAAACAAGGAGAGTGGGACGGTCGACCCAATTAATTACATAATGACGCTAATTAGCTAATTACAGACGTTAGCTCCGTAATCACTGTCGTTTATATTCACGTGGGTGCTCACAGTATGAATGTCCACCCCTGTAAAAAATGGCACAATAAAGAAAAAATAAGTTTTTTGCTACACACATCTCCAATGTTCTCCCGAAACTTTTTATCGTGTGATAAATTGGGCGCCTTTAATCTCCATATCTCAATATTCAATACCTCAGCTATTAATACTATCTATGTATAGTGATTGTTAAAGTAACAGGAGTTAGGAACGTTTGAACTTTAAAAGATTACTTTAAAAGATTTCTTTAATGTTTAATAACGCCCAATTATTATTGCAGCATTCAGCCCAGTTTTGAAGCCTCAGGCTACGCTAGCTTTCTCTCCTATTCGACACACGGACATGCTCGGAGCTCTCTCTCAAAACAAGGTATTTTTAATGAAAAGAGAATTTATTTCACTTTCACTTTCTTAATTTCACTCGATCGAACTATCGAACCCTCCCATTAACTATTTATACGTCATATCATAAACCCATTTCGTCATTTAACTGTCAAATCTCATTGTAGAGCCGAGAATTTACTACATGTTCTAACCCATCATGAGACGGATTAAAGAAATTCCTTATCCACTGATTCCTTGTTACACACACCAACACGCTCCAACTCAACTAGATACCCACCACTCCGTCAGCGTTTAGACAATCCGGTCCAAACACAAGGATTTCTTCTTGACAGCGCCTATAAAAACGATAATGAGTTGGCTAACACAAAACGGATAAAGAATCTTTACATCCGTTTACCGAAAAGTAAATTAAGCATGAACACTGAATAGCTGGGTAGAGCTACGTGGATATTACGATAAAGATTCCTTATCGAATCTAACTCTTCTAACTTGGAGGTCACTGGGTGCCGCGCACCGCCCCGTCTCCATAGCGACAGTAGCTGTAACTATGGGCTGTACAATGAGTTGAGTATTGTTGCTACAGCAGGGGATAAAGACGTGGTTAATGATTTATTGACATAGTCTGGCAAATATCTTTAATCTTTTCTGTAGGAGCTAGTTAGAAGGGCGAGGCAGTTAAACAGTTAAAATTAGCTGTGGAGACTCTATCTAGTGGCTGTGTGGAGCCATTGTAGTGTGGGTTTGAGGTGAAGTTGTGGTGAAGTTGTGGTGAAGTTGAGGTGTAGTTGTGGTGTAGTTGTGGTGTAGTTGTGGTGTAGTTGTGGTGTAGTTGTGGTGTAGTTGGTGGTGTAGTTGTGGTGTAGTTGTGGTGTAGTTGTGGTGTAGTTGTGGTGTAGTTGGTGGTGTAGTTGTGGTGTAGTTGTGGTGTAGTTGTGGTGAAGTTGAGGTGTAGTTGTGGTGTAGTTGTGGTGTAGTTGTGGTGTAGTTGTGGTGTAGTTGTGGTGTAGTTGGTGGTGTAGTTGTGGTGTAGTTGTGGTGTAGTTGTGGTGTAGTTGTGGTGTAGTTGTGGTGTAGTTGTGGTGAAGTTGAGGTGTAGTTGTGGTGTAGTTGTGGTGTAGTTGAGGTGTAGTTGGTGGGTATGAAGTCTGCTAATCAGATTGTTGAGCACCCTGTTTTACCTCAATCTAAACACGGTGTATTGTCTTACCCTGTTTTACCTCAATCTAAACACGGTGTATTGTCTTACCCTGTCTTACCTCAATCTAAACACGGTGTATTGTCTTACCCTGTCTTACCTCAATCTAAACACGGTGTATTGTCTTACCCTGTTTTACCTCAATCTAAACACGGTGTATTGGGTTGAGGGTATAGTTTTTAGTTATCTTAAGTGCTAAAGGTCAGCTTTTTTCATTTGGGTATTTCTTTGTCAGCGTCAGGTTGTCTGGGAAAGGCCTATCAGTAACATCTTTTAAATGGAACGAGAAAAGTGATGTCTAAATTTGTTCTCAACTTGATAAAGCGAACAAAGGCAGTTTCTTTTCGTAGCTCAGTAGTTTTGCGATGTAGTTAATTTGGGATTTTCACCTTTTCGTTTTCACCTTCGTCCATCAGGCCAACATTTCACCACATAATTATCATTATTATGACAATTAAAATTTGAAATATTTTGCAAGCACTAGACGGTATTCAAATCATGTACGTCTTCACTCTACATCACTGTTAACAAGACATGTTTTTGAGTTAAGGTGATTTTTACTGAAGAAGTTCAAGCGCTGTGGGATATTTTCTTAAACACAAAAACAGTATATGGTCACTTTTATTTTTGTTATGAAATGATGATAGAATAGTTCTTTTTAAATCTAATATCTGGTTATTAAAACTGCCCAATTATTTCAGAGCTCATATGAAGCCGAGTTAGTGATCCAGGACAATCTTATATCTGCAATGAGGAAACACAGGTAAAACTTTACCTCATTTTAGCTTGGAAACACCCGAAGATGTGATTATAATTCGCAAAATCACTGATAAAACTGCAGCTAAAGTTTGCCACTGGCCGTTAATTCCGCCAAATTAATTGCTAATTTATTAATTATTCAGGTCTGATCTTGACAGGTCTCTGATACAAGGACTATCCCCACCTCGAAACCCACCTTCTTCTTTACCTCTCCACATATTTGGTAAGTTATATTCTCCTCAGATTAAATACATTTTAGCTGAATCAATTACATGATTAGAATCAGAAATTAAAAGGGGATTACATCATATCGGAATTTTATCGCATGTCGACAAATTTTATTTTCAAATTTTCTAGTCATTGAGCATTTCTTTTGCATGGTTTCTTTCGCACGCATCTTCATCATTATTTATTCATTATCTGCGCCAAATGATGGTTCCAAGTTTCCATTTTCTGACTTAAGATTCTACAGAGACGGTAGGGCTGGGTGCACGTAGCGCGGCAGTGAGTCCAGGAGCACAAAGTGTGGCGGTCAGCCCCTCTAGCACACCACAGAACCCCACCCCTGACATGGTGTGCAGCCCTTCTATCTGTGTTCAGCTTAACGGATCACCTAACGGTGGGTGCTCAGTGCAGTTATTTTTCTAGATTCTTCCAGAATGTTCTAGATTTGTCTGGAATATTCAAGTTTATGAATTTCATATACGTGATCCATACCATGAAAATAAGGCTTTTGCTGGGCTTCTTTGATCCGAGGCCGAGGTTAACCAAGACAAAATCTCCAATTTTTCATTCTAATCAAGATGAATTATTGAACGATTGATTATTTGACTGCTCCTTCAGATACTGCTTTATGATAACGTACATAATCCATCAGTAAAGTCACGTGGTATAGTGGGTTGTGCCGATATCAATTATAAAAACTGTTGACAGATTCAGAGGCCCTTTTGCTTTGTAAAAATATTCCGTTCCACCTATTATAATCTTACCAAAAGTTAAACTTTGCACACCCTTTTAAAATTCGATGTTACAATTTATCTGATGCGAATGTTATTGAGTTTCAAATCCTTTATTTTTCCTCTTGACAAAGAACACTTTGATAATTTCAAATTGAACACCACATTTGATATCGCCGCCCGCTTTTCATCAACATCAAATTTTGGTAATAAGTTCATCATGGCCTTTGTTATAATAAGTATTAGTAACATGATAATATAGACATTCAACAATCGTGACTTATAACTTAATCACAGTCTGTGACCTCCAAACTGAACATCTAATTTTCAGAGAACACATCGCCTGGAAGCTTGTGCAATGCCTCCCTGGGACAGGAAAGTGGCACCGATGAGAGTACTAATTTTATCGGCAAGAAACGACCGAAGAGCGATGAGAGTATGGCTGAGTCTGGCGAGGAATCTCCTAAAAGGCAGTGCCAAAGGTAGGTTTCTAAAAAGGGGTTTCCGCTGGGCTTTCTTTTTATAAACAGGGCTTTTTGGTTAGTATGTTTTGTCGGATATTTCTGATATAATTCTGTGGATTAAGTTGAGCATTTGTTTAAATATTGTTTTATTTCAGCGATTCATCAAGTTCAGCTGAGCCTGTGTCTATAAAGAGCGAACAAGAAGGAAACCCTATTTCACCACAACTTTCATCATCTGCCGAAGAAAATGAACAAGGTCAGTACTGACCAAACCTGATGATATTATTCGTTTTATCCTACTTTTATCCTACTTTTATCCTACTTTTATCCTACTTTTATCCCAATTTATCCTAGTCCTACTTGAGTACTTTTATAGCAACTATAACTGTACTCCCAACATGAACTTGTCTTCTTTACAGTTATTTCTTATTGGCGACCAACCAAATTCACAAACCTAAATCGTGTGTCAAACAATTTATTCGCCATTTCTCAAGTCCTTTACATCTAGAAAACAACCACGCTATGCCCGGAGATACTACCCACAAACACCACGGTTCTGTCAGTTCGCTCAGAACCCACCATTTCACAGTTTCAAGATATTCATCCGACATAATATTGCCGATAGAATTCATTCGGTGCATTTTTAATGACATGTCGCATAATGAATCCTTGCATGCCGAACATAATTAGAGAATTGTTGGTAACAGCCCCATTAGCGACGCGATATCAGCATTATAATAATATATCGTTGAAAAGATTGTCCAACCTGATTGAGATTGAACTTGTTCGTGCGTGCGCCCAGGACAAGTTTTCACTTTTCACTTTTTCTGGTGGTGTCCAGCTTAGCAGGTCACATGACACTCATCTCCGGTGAAGTGTCGTGGAACTGAGGATTCAGAGCGACATATCTCGCGTGTTGAGGCGCACACCTTGGTACTCAATACCCGGCTATTAACCGGAGGCGATAACCTAGCATTATTAGGATGTATCGTTGACTTTTCTCGTTTCAAAACGGTCGACACACGTTTCAGCAAAGCGTGTCAGTTAAGAAAAATCTCGATATATTTTAAAGATTGGATGTGAGCGGGCTACTCGTCTAATTTATAGCCTGTGCTTTATCTTTCAATCCAATCTGGCCTACAAGCACAATAGAGCTAATGTAAACCCGGCCCTGGGCTCACAACTTGATGGTAGTCACGTGACGTCATGATATGTCACGTGACGTCACGTGAAAGTTGGATCATGTCACGTGTTATGATACTTTGCATTTCGTTGTGAACTGCGTGGATTTGTGGCGGCTGTGAACATCTTCCAGGGTGTGTTATTGATGTAACACAGTGGTCGCATCTGAACTACTTGGAAATAATCTTATTGACCCTTATTATAGTTGCAAGATAACAATCGTACGTTGGTTTACTACTAACTGCTGTCATTATCATGGTACCAAGGGTACATGAAACGGTTTTAGAGAATTTTTATTCCCTTTGCTTACTTATCTGGTCACTAATAGCTACCTGGTCACTAATGTCTGCATAATTTATTTTATTTTGCCTTAGAGTCTTCACAGACCACAGGCCACTATTCCTGGAAATCCCCTCTTTTGTTTGCTATTTTGCCTGGGTATTATAAGAGCTTTACTTTGAAACAATAAGAATTTCCGATGTACAGAACACTGGTTTGTGATTCGAAGTTATGTTATAAAATCAAACTCCAAAATTATTGGAGCAGCTTTCTTCTACCATTTGCTTATTTTGGTAGTACGAGGGCCCTCATGTACAATGTTTCTCAACCCAAGGTTCAATGCGGTCCTGTACTATTGTTACGGCCATTAAAAACAGTTGATAATTGTTCTTAGTATCTTGATCTATCATGTGGTGTTAAAAAATGTGACCCATTTTAAATGTAATTTGTTAACAAATAATAAAACTAATACGAGCTACTCATGGAAAATATAAGGGTATTGAATGATGGGGTGCGATTTAACCAACCTCTTAAATTTTATGATAACAATGATTACAAATTATTTCATGTGATGTTGAATAATCAATAATATTCCCCAAGTCTCTTGTGACCGTTTAGAACGGCGCCTAATCACCTACTAGAGTCGTCATCAAAAACCCCGCTATATTACTGAGTAGGCATTGAAAAACTGCATCAACATGAGAAAAAGACCCAGCCTTGCTCCCGCACACACAACATTTAATTAATGTCTGAGTTCGGTATTCCTGCCCTTTAGCAGCACTAGAAACTGTAGAGAATTAGAGTACTCTGTAGAGTAAGTACTCTGTGTCTGTTGTAGCAGAGTGGTCATCCTGCTCGAGCAGTCTGATCTAATTAGTTTACCTAGTACCACACCACATGGTTCACGCCATGATATTGGGACAACTGGTTTTTTTCATTAAGTACCAAGTAGCTCTTATATTTCAAATTGTTAATCCGTAGGTTTTTGATGTGGAAATGAAATCTTTTGTCTCGCTTATTTGAGTTTTATACGGGTAGAGTTTGTGGGATCTCATGGAAAGTGGTGCTCTTCTATGTAAATTTTAATATAGAGGTGCAGCATTGGAACACCCACTGGCCACTGGGTTAAGTCAGATTATTCTGGAAGGTTGTATCATGAACTATATTCTCAGATGATAGGTTGTGAAACTGTTAGATAGATTGTACAAATGAATAACTTAATATAATGACATTAACGTGAGTGTAATGCCCCTACATGCATCTGTTATTATCCTATCATATTGTCACTTGAAATGTCATTGAAATCAGCCAACACTGTCTCATCCATCGTTTAAAACTATTGAATCTTTTAGCAAACATTGAACGGTCCACCCTTGCATCTAAACTTTAGTGGGGCAATAAAAAGGTCTACTTAACATGTTTGCGCGCACACGCGAGACGAATATTATTTGGTGTACTTTTTCAGCAACCACCTCAACATAATTGCGCGCGCGCCATAAAGATTTTAATAGTTTTATTTTCTATTTTACCATTTTAAGGGTTTCACTTTTTGTAGATTTTCATTTTACTAACGAGGAACTATTACAGGAATGTTCACCCCGATAAGTGCCCTGAATTCCTGGACGTGTCCCAAGTGCGACACGAATGTAACGAACATGAGCGATCTGGCGTCACATATCAAAGTGTGTCTAAACGGACAAGGTGACAACTATTGTAACGAGTGTGGACGGGGCTACAGCAGCAAAGTAAGTTACCCGTGACTATATAGATAATTTTAATCGGAACCGTGTATCTTAATCTACATAGAAAAGATTTTTTTGCTTTCAACATTTAGATTTAAATTCAGATGAACTGTTTCAGTTGATTATATTTTTTTAAATAAAATATTTCAAATCGAATAGCAGATAATTAATATTCTGAATTCTCAGGCCAGTCTTCAGCGTCATATCAGCGTTGTGCACCGCAAAGAGAGGAATTACGAGTGCCACATCTGTAGGAAAAGATTTGGTCAACAGATTCATGTAGACGTTCACATGAGACTCCATACAGGTAGATTAATAGTCTAATTATCTAATTGATTAATTGATATTTGATTTGACTCAGTGGTTTCGGATTTCTCATTATTCACCATACCGGTACAACTCAAGATGATTGCACTGTTGGTTCTGGCCAGGGAAACAATTTAGTGCCCTCTTTAAATTAATTCAGCTCAATTTATACAATTCTAACAGTACCTCTGTTTCAGGTGAGAAGCCGTTTGTGTGCCACATGTGTAACGACAGCTTCAAACAGTCAGCCCATTTAAAGCGACACATGCAGTGTCACATCAGAGCACCTTCTGAATTCTCTCTCTACAAATCTCAGGTAATTTGAACTTGCGGTGCAATGATTTGTTTGCTAGTTTAATATGAGCTGACCCAGTCTGATGTTTTAACTTACTTACAAGATTTTCTGATACAACTGCAGTAGGAGCTATTTAGGTAATGTTATTATTATCGAGTAAACGATCGCCATTATTACTCAGTTATTAATCAAACTACTTTCCTCAGAAACAAAACTCTGGTCCCTTCAAAAGAGACGTTATGAGCTCAAAACCTGACTACGACTCCCTCTTGCCCCGTATCTCCGGCAAGAACATGTCCCCTCTCTCCACCCGACCGCTCCACGAGTATCCATACCTTCTCTCCGGCTCTCTCACCGACACTCCCTCCTCTCCTAATCTTAAAGACAAGTTCAGATCATATGGCATGATGCTGGGAGAACCGGCCGTTCTGAGTGAACTACAAAACAAATACACGATGGAACTGATCAAGTTGATAGGACAGACTGTAGAGGATCAGAGAAAGAATATCTCCAGATAAAGGGCGATAAAAACAATAACATTTTGCAGATAAACTGTCTCATCTCTCTGTTTTCTGGTTGAAAACATGAGGTTGAGGATAGAGAAATACAGAATGTGGAGTAATGGTTGAGTGTGATAAGATAAGACAAAGATAAGACTGATAGAACTCAGAACAAACTGAAAGTGTTGTTATGTGTATTGTATTGTTGACAGAATATGAGATCTAAGATTTTTTAAGATTAAAGAATCCCGGTGAAGACGAAATGATTCAGTTTATTGAAGATCTGTTAAAATCCGGGGCATGATTTGTCATGGGCATTATCAGGCGCACAAATATTTTATAAATTTATAAATGTTTGAATAGGAGTGGGCTACACCGGGGTCAGTTTCTTGGGAAATAATTCTTATTTAACCATTATGGCCTACTGGGCTGCTGGTAGATTAGTCTCTACAGAGGCAAATATAACAGTTAACCTAAGAATTTAACAGCAAAAATTACTCCCCAAGGTGGCACCCACTCTTAATTTAATCTTTAAATGTATTAATTATAATCGGGCTGAGATGCATTGGCGTTCATTTTAATCTGAATCATGGCATGGTTAACCCTACGGTTTCTCATACACATCATTAGTCAAAATGTATGTGAAGAGAACAGGTGCTATCCTAGATCTCAAGATAACCCGAAAAGGGTCTCGTTCGATAATTATTGTATCAATAAATTTCTGAAGTATGATTAATCTGATTTATGAGCTCAGCGCGGTCAACATTTCGCTTATTTCAAGCAAAAATATCGTGGGTCGGGTTGTGGTGACCGTCGCGTCGTTGTTAAGCAAATAAAAATTGTTGACAACATTTATTATGTTAAAGTTTTACTTCATGGGTGAAAGATTATTTTAAATTTCGTTGCTTTGATGTTGCTCCCATATTTATTATGAAAATTTGGGTAAAATAAATTGTGTTTTTAATTCGATCTTTGCAGTGCGATAAAAATAATCAGCTAACCGTATAATCATAATTAATTAATTTGATGAGCTTGAAAGCTCATTTTCCGTTTATCAAAGCTAAAGTTTCTTCGGTAATCTAGATTTCAGTATCTCAATCGTATCTTGTGCCATCCACAGTGAAGTCACTAATTGGTCATTGAAGAAAAATCCGAAGCCATGATTGATAGATTTAAATGTTAGAAAGGAGATTTAATTAAATGTCGGGTTGCTCGAGCTTATCTTAAATAGAAGAGAAGCGATTGATCGTAAGCTATTAACTTGAACCAATGGGATCACCTCAATCCGCCTTAAATAATCAAACTCAACACGCTTTATTTTGAACTAAAAGTGTTACCACTTGCACCAATAGCAGTCTCGCAAAGCTCAAGATCTAATGAAAGAATGAACTACGAAGCATGTGACACCAAGTAGCAAACCTAGGAGCACGGGCATAAGCCTGCTTTATTTGGAGATGTTGTTGTTGTTGTATCTTGTTGTTGTTTGATATAGTATTGTAGTTTTTATAGTGCGATACCGCAAGTTCGCCTTTTATCAGTATCACATCTTTCTTGACACACGCTGTATACCTAAGAGGTATACAACGTGTAGCAACATCTTTCGTACTACACAATACACATGATGAGATGGTAAATAAGACGTTCGACTGTTCGAGATACCTAGCATGCCGGCAACCTGGCAAATCAACCTTTCCTGTGGAGTTGTTTGCAGAGAATTACAAGCAGACCACACAGGATTCACCCCACCTTGTTTTATATCCTTATCCCTAAGCGCATTAAAATATAGATATACCACGGCGCTGCAGTCTGTATGCCCCAAAGTTCCAAACGTATCTATTTCAGATAAACCGCACTAGTGAACAGTTTCTTCATGACGAGGTAATGCAATTCAACTTGTTTTGATAATTATAAAGTGATGTCAAATTTGGTATAAGTTTCAATAAACAGTTTCGAACACACACCAACTAATGTTCAAGTGTCTATCTAATGCAAAATTATTGTTTGCGGCCCGTAAAATTCAGGGAAATAGAGAGCGGGTCTGCGAAAAGATCTGACAACCCGGGTCACCCCGCTAATTCTCACTTAAATTTGACCCAAACGAATCTATAAGACACGGTATAAATTACCAGTATTTTCAAACATTGCTGATCGATTTTCATAGAATCAGCAAGAATTTTGTTTTAAGATCTAGTCCCCTATTTCTGAAAAAGAGAGGAAGGAGGCTCAAAACCCTATTTTGTCTTTTATAGTTGAAGTGACTGAATTACGTCCACCGATTGAACTCCAATTTCGAGTCCTTTGAGGAATACGACGGAAGTAATTAGTATGATTGTTAGCGTTGTTTATCTTTAAAAGTTTAAAGCTTTGACAATAACAAAGATAACATGGTCTCTCATACAAATACTTCAGTTGTCCAATGTTCAAGTGAAGACAACGGAATCAATTGAAATCAATCACCTAATTTTTGTAGAATGTAGAAATGATCTCCGTATACATGTTGATGTACACCATGTTGTCGTTACTCTTGCATCCTGTTGTCGTTTACAGGTATTCACATATGATTTAGGGATCACATTTATCTTGTTGAACTTATAATTAGTGCGTACACCTATATCTTCAGTCCAGGTATCACACAGAAGTTCAAATTCAATTCGACCGATTATTGAGTTTAAGTGCATAACGTATCTTCTTTACGTGTCAAAATGGGTATAGGACAGTGGACACTATGGCAGAAGACTTTTGCCCCCCCCCCCCCCCTGTATATAAGTAAAGTTACAATGAATTCGAAATCAGGATCACTGAAATGATTGAAATATAATTTATACAATTAGAAGTAAGTTGTGTGATGTTGCAGGTTTTGTAGTATTACTTACAGTTCAACATTTAGGACGGCTGGACGGTGTATGGTTCCATCATCCATGATAAAGTGAGTCATGTTATCGTTTTAGGAAACTTCCGCCCTCGACTAATTCGCCCTTGTGTCCTTCGCCGTCGTGTCCAACCTTTTAGAAAACTTCCGCCCTTGGGTCCTTCGCCCTCAATCGTGACTTCCGCCCTCACGACCTGTTCCCGTCAAAATACAGTTAGACATTTAATTCTCCGGCTTACAATCTCACAACGATTCAGCGAACAGATATACTTTTCTGCTTTTAGTCACATACTTCCCAGTACCTGTCTTTCCTTCGCTAAGTAACCCTCCACTATATCTGAAGAAAGGCTAAAAGTAGGAACCTAAAGAGTTATGACGTTAAGAAAATTAAACACCAAATAGATTTCCAAGAAAAGACAGACAGCGATCTCAAGAGGGATGTAAATTTATTGGAGTCATAGTAATTATTACGTATAGTACTTTAGTTTGAAGTTCGTCACGTACTAAAGGTCGACAAGCCCTTATTATAAGTTCGATACTATCCATCGACCATCTTACTATTTTGAGTAAACATTGGCTGGTACTTTGGGCCGGTCCTAACAAAAAACGTGATAGTCTAGTTAAGTGTAGAGTGATTCATCAGATCATCCGATTCCCTCTAGACGTATGTTGGCTACATCATATATCATTTCAAGTCCCAGTTAACAGTTAGACACACTCCTCATTTCGAGCTCCCCCAGACCAATTATAAAGTCTAATATTTCTGATCGCTTCAATTCCGTTACCAGTCTCCACAGCTGTATTCTATGTTGTTTGTTTATTTGTTTGTTTATAGAACCCGTCCCCAATATCGTATCGGAAAATGACTAAACTCTGGTCTGAGTGTGAATACGGGTGGTACCAGCTGCAAGTGTGTTCATTAACCATTTAGAGTTCTGTAAAACAGAAAACTGCATAATGCAGTTGTCTTATATAGTTGCTAGCTCTTCGTTGGGTATTATATATCCTTGTTATTGCGATTGGTGACGTGTCTTTAGTGATAATTCGATATTTAGATATGAGAGCGAGCGCTAAAAGTAAATACTTTTACTCATTCGAGCATATCCTTGATCTTAAACTATTCCCTAGTGTTTAATTTTGGTTTAAACACGTCAACTTAGTGCAGAATAAAGCAAGTTATACAAGTACAACTATTTCATACGTATCAAATTGGATGTGCTTTCGGTGGAGATATATAGCGCGGCCGTTTAGTTATGGTTAGGGTTTTAGCATATAACTATAAGACGTATAAGTATATACTTCAGATAAGAATATAGTTAGGAATAGGGTTGACCTTTCGAGTTTAGAGGTCGTTTTCCAAGCACTTTATCGACAAATTAGAAACTGTCTGCTTGAAATTATCCTAGGTCAATCGTAAAGGTTGATCTCATCAGTATTACAAGGGGTTCGACAGAAGGTACATGGTATCTGTGATCTTCGCTAACGACTGGTGGCAGATATCTTCGCTAACAACTCATGGAGATTGTGAATGTTATATGTTCACTGCTCAGTGCGCTACCTGAACTGTAGTTAGACACGTACGGGCGTTCGACAGGGATGAACGGTAGTCGTACAATGGTACATTAATTCTAATGGAGGTACTTTTACTTAGAACTGGTAGTATATTCTGATTTCTGAATTCCAGACATTATTTTAAGTAAGAAGAAATTGTAGCCGTATTCGATTAAGTCGATTAAGTCAGGGTACATATCAAATGATCAAATTAATTTGGTAAATTGAAACCTTCTTCCGGCAAAGTTAAATAAGCTATCCAATGATTTAGCTTCCTAGTGGAATTCGAAAACATTTTCCTTCCAATTCTGAGAAACCGTAGGTAGTAGATTTCGTGATCACGAGCGATTACTATCGCGAGGGATCACTTTAACAAACCTTACAGAAATCTTTTGTGATTCCTGGAAAAGTGGAATATGCACAAAATAGCGGATGTGACGCAGCCATTTATATTATCACTGTTTGTAAGCGTTGTTTTCGTTTGTTTGCCATGACGAATCCAGAAGTTTCCGTGAATAGGTTGACTAGATTTATCTTAATCACTTCAATATTTACTCTAGAAATAAATAAATACTTTTGCCCATGTGTTATTAATATTGCTGGTTTGATTCGCAAACTTATTTTAGTTTATTGAAGTTGGAAGTTTTTACCATGTTTCACGGTTGCGAAGTATAGTGGCCTCTAAAATTTCAAGCTTTTCATGTAAATCTAATTTCGTAAATTATCGCATTTATTGGCCAGATTTTCGAAAGTATTGCTACGATCATTTGCAACATGTAACGGTCGTTGACTAACACTAGATTTGGGTGTACGACATATTATGTTCATCCGATTTAAACGTGACAACTAATCCTAACCCTTACTGAAATACGCGTGAAGCTGGTAGCTGGAGTGAAATGTTCAGGGGTGAATCTTTTGGTACGTTAGGTCAACCTCAGCACGTTTTAAAAATACTGATTACGGTAACCATTGAGCATGACCCATGACCATTGTGCAGTCCCAAACTTGCAAAAGTGGATAAGGATATACACCACGCATGTACCGAGCGTGCTTAAAATTAATCACTTTACATTGGAACTTCTAGACTTTTCTAATAGGCCCTAGGCAGTTAAACTGTCACCAATCGATGTACTTATGAACACTGATTCGAATCACCCCATATGACTTAGGGTTAAAATGCTTCCCTGACGAGTTATCGGCGAAAAACTGTTTTGATCACGTGACATGAAGACATACCGAACTTGTATCTAGTTGATATGTACGGGTACCAAGGAGATGAGAATTTTAATTTTGGACCGTCTTCCTTATCGGCGCTTAATTGAGTTGTAAATACAATTTCCAGATTTGCTGTTATCTTATAATTTAAATTACGCGAAATGTACACTGTTTAAAGCGAGCTTAACTTTTCGTTGTTTATAAAAATGCATGAATGACTCTTTCGCTGATAAACTCCAAACGTATTGGAATACCTTAGTTTAAGAGAGACGGTCATTGGCTAATTCGTTAAGCTTATCTTTGAAGAAGTCGTTTTATTAAATCCAACTTCTCAATCAGTAAATTTGAAATGCTGTCCCAGCTCATTGTTCGTTTTGGCCCATTGCCAGCGACTAAATACAACTTATGTCTTTTCCGAAGTACCAAATTCCCTGATACTAATTGCTACCTTAAAATAGTCTAATCTTAAAATTTACGTTTCATAAATTTTATATTGATTAATCAATGACAAATGATAAGTAAGTCCGTTTTTAAAATCTGAATATTATTTTATTATTAATTTCTTCTTCTATTGTCCAAAATCTTTGGGACCGTAACAGCCTAATAGGGTCGTCCTAACAAAGACATATGTTTATTATTATACTGTTATATATGATATCTGTGCAGTTTTTGTTACGTGTTGATAATCTATCTCTATTTTATCGCTACATTATAACTGCCATTGTGCGGGTACTGTGTTTTTACTTTATACAAGTACAAGTACACGATGGATGATGATGAAATGGATACTCTTCAAAGATTGTCAGGTTACTCTTCCTACATTACCGAAGAGCATCAGGTCTATAACGCTTGGATCACTGAACTCGCAGAAGCTATGAACTGTAACAATAAACCAGAGTTTTCAGTTGAATATATTTCAAATATTTGTATTGTGCGTATCAGACAACCAGTGATCATGTAAATATGTATCTGGATATCAAGAAAGATATGGAGGAGTTGAAGAGCGATCTTATCCGATCGCAAAGTATTGTTATCAAGCTGCAGGCTGAACTTCTGGAAAGCAAATCGAAGCAGTTGGAATCCGTGCATTCCACCGTCAAGACCGCCGTTCAGGACACTTTTCAAGCTGGGATAATCACATACAGTCAAGCTGTTTCAAAAGCCGCACCTGTACTCACAGAAGAGAGTTTGAAAAAGGTTGTACAGAATGTTATATCAGGAGAGGATCGAACTAAGAATGTGTTAATATTTGGTTTCGAGGAGACTAGTGACTTAGTGAAAAGAATCTGAGTCATGAAGTTGGCGAGATGTTTCAGCAGATTGAAGAAAAGCCACACTTCGAAGCTGTCCGGGTTGGGAAGAAGTCAGCTGAAAAGATTAGACCAGTTAAAGTTTCTTTTGAAAATTCAAGTACAGTCCATCAGATATTAGTGAAAGCCAAAGAACTGAGACTGATTTCACGTCATAAAACTGTCTTCATTTCTCCGGACCGATCACCTGAGGAACGAACTATCCATCAACACTCAACAGTTGGTCTTAGAGATGAAACAGATTGCCAAAGAAGACATGCAGATAAACAATATTATATCAGAAGTGGTAAAATTTGTTGTAAGGACAAGGTTTAGGTAGTGGAGTGAACGATTTATAATAATGTTTAATGATATACATCCTTAAGTTGTTTTTTTACCGTTGCTATACTAACTTTTAATGTCAATAAGTAATTTGGTTTTGGATTTTTTATATCATACTCATTAACTGAATATCTTAGTTTGGGGTATATTCATAGGCCAGCCGCTTTGACATCGGCAATCTTTATTTTTATTTGGATTGTATGAACACCCAAAGCCAAAGTTGAGGAAGGAGAGGCCCTTTGAGAGAGCGAAAGACTGGAAGCTGATATGGGACGAGGATACACTACCTGCCCAGTTCCCACAGCACATCTACAACACAGCGGAGAGACCCGACATTGTAGTATGGTCGGATAGTTTGAGAGAAGTAGTTCTGATTGAACTGACTTGTGGTGACGAGAGTAACTTCAGTGACCAAGTAGCACGTAAAGAAGCACGCTACAACAGAGAACTGATTCCTGGCATCGACGGGTGCGGTTGGAAAGCTCTGCTCTTTACGGTAGAGATTGGGTGTAGGGGCTTCTGGCACCATACTGTACCAGCTCTATTTAACTACTTTGGATTGGCGAAGAGAACGAAGAATAAAGCCCTGAATGAGGCTGCTTTGGTCGCTCTTCGATGTTCCTATACAATCTGGTTAGCCCGCGACAACAAGAAATGGTCTACCTGCTACGACATCGCAAGGAGGCCAGAAGTCATAAACTGTGAAAGCTGAGTGTTGGGCCCATAAAACATGTTGAAAGCTGCAACCAGGATCACAAGTACTGGTGGAATACAGAATGACTTGCTAATCAGATTGATAGATGGAGTTGCTATCGAAAGATATAGAACTCAGGTAAACATCTAACCTGTAATAGTTTATTGTTGATTTTTCTCACACACGGAAATGGATTGTGCGCCTGCAGACGGGCGTGTTAGTCTGCTGACAGCTGGAAAGACTGCTGACGTCAGGGAAAGTGCTGATGACGATTGGGGAAAGACTCGATGACTTCAGGGAAAGAACTGATGACTCCTGTGAAAGAGCAGAGTACGTAACTGCCTCAGTAAGGCTCCTCGTACAGACAAATCACACTACGTCAACTAAAAGAGAATGCCCCAAGACCTCCGATCAGGTGGGGAGGATCAAAGGTCAACCCGGATTTAACGATGAAGGATCTTTGAGAGAATTTGACAATAGTACTTGTCAGTGGTGTAAGCGAATGTTCAAACAGATCAACAAACATCTCTGGAGATGCAAAATGAGACCGGCGGAGCTCGAACCCGAACCTTTGGTGAGGATAGATGATATCCGTAATACTATGTCGGAGCAGGAACCTAGCCAGGAACACAACCACAGAGCTACAAAGGAACCTGCCTGCTCAGACTTGCGTTTTCAGTTCATAGATCATGAACCGCCCAACATCGAGATTGAGGTTACAAAGAAGCTTAAATTACCACAAGCAGCAGAGAGAGGAATATGGAAAGGAATAGATGAAGATTTGGTTATGCTGTGTCACGAGATCGTAGAGAAGGATGAGGCGATCAGGCTTCAAAAGACTGAAGGGAGAATCTACAGCTACCTGGAATATAGATTTGGGGAAGAGAAGAAGATATTCGAACAGAAACAGCAGAGAGAGGACAGGGAGACTAAGGCGATTAGGGTTTCTAAGAGGATAGCAAAGAAAGATATGAGGTCGGCAAAGAGGAGTAAGGACACTAACGCTACAGCCACAGCGAAAAGAGAGTACCTCCGGCTGGTGCGGCTCCACAACAAAAGTCGACGCAATGAGCTCAAGAAGAAGAGGGGCAAGCAGGAGAAGAAAGAGCAGGATAAGTTTAAGAAGAACCCGTATGACTACAGCAAGAAGCTACTTAATGGTAAGCAGAACAACGCACCGCCAAGCTTCTCTAAGGAAGAAGCAGACAGGTTCTTCAAGAAGGAGTATAAGGACACGGACAGAGGTGCAATCTACACTAAGTTGGAAGGCCTTCCTGAGGCCAAGCCCCCAGTAGTTAAGTTCGAGCTGACAAAGCTGGACAGGGAAGATTTCGATGCAAAGCTGAAGAGCAGGCGTAATAAGTCATCCCCTGGTCCAAACGGTGTACCATATGTAGTGTATAAGAGATGCCCGAGAACCGCACACATAATCTTCCAAACCCTATCTACCCTGTGGGACAAGAAGATAGTGCCACTACAATGGCGATTTGGTGAAGCAGTCCTTATTCCAAAGACTGAGGATCTGTCAGACCCAAGCAAGTTCAGGAATATTACAAAGACGAACACCAGCGGCAAGTTGAACATGGGAATTCTAGCAGACAAAATGCTGGATTATATGGTGTCTAATAAGTACATAGACAAGTCAGTTCAGAAGGGCTTTCTGAAGAAGACTCCTGGTTGTCTTGAACACACCCAAGTGCTTATGGAAGAACTAAAAGACGCCAAATCTACTAGACGTCAGATATTCGTTGTCTGGGTGGATTTAATGAATGCATATGGCAGAGTCCCACACAACTTGATCCTCTATGCCCTCCGGCATTACAACTTCCCTGAATGGCTCATAGATTACATGTTTAAGTACTATGATGAACTGATTGTAAGGGTGGTAACCAAAGACTGGAAGTCAAATTGGTTCTACTACATGTTAGGCCTCTTTCAAGGAGACCCTCTTTCAGTAGTGTTGTTCCTGATTGTATTCAACTTACTGTTAGATCTTCTACAAGATCAAAAAGAACTGGGTTATAAGCCCTCCTTTAGCTCGCAACCTACATCGAATCGGGCTTTTGCAGATGACCTAACACTTATGTCCTCCAGACTAGAGAAGGTAAAGAAGCAGATAGAGTTGATGGAGCAGTTTTTGGATTGGAGTAGGAAAATGAAGGCCAAGCCTAGCAAGTGTGTCTCCCTGGGAATGAAGGTGATAGATGGTACGTACCAGGCTTATGACCCAGAGATATTGATTGACGGCCAGATAATCAGCTATGTAGGAAACAACCCGATTAAGTTCCTGGGCCACTGGATCTATGTCGATCTAGGGTTAAATGACACTAAACAACGGATTGAAGACAAACTAAAAACTCTGTTTCAGACAGTGGATGAGTGTGGTCTCAACGGTGTCATGAAGTGTTGGATCTACAATAACATGCTGACTAGCAAGATGTCCTGGGATCTGATGATTTACAACCTTCCTGTAAGTTTTGTGTACGAACTGGATGCTATCTGCACCAGATTCTTGAAGAAGTGGTTGGGTGTTACTAGATCAATTACTGTGACAGTCCTGTACAGGAGCAAGGATTACTTCGGGCTAAACTTGAAGAAGCTGAGTGACTTATACAAGTCTCTTCAGGTATCAAAGGGACACGCCCTGAAGAACAGTGATGACACCAAAGTTGTAGAAGCCTATAATAACAAGAGAGAGAAACAGGAGAACAGCCCGAGATGGTCTTATACAACGGAGCTGACGGCAAGAGAGCGAGATCTTTACTTCCAGGAGTTGGTTGGAGTAGTGACTAAAGACCGAGTAGGACTCGGATGCAAACCAAAGTTGACTGAGAGGCAGAAGCTAAGGCAACTGGTAGAATTGGTGTCAGAGAACGACATGCTAGTCACCCTGGTAAATAAGGGAGTACAGGGCAAGTTCTTGACATGGGAGAACACGATGCAGTTAGACTTAGGATGGAACAGCCTTATCTACAACTACAAGATGAGCCCGGCTCTCCTTAAATTCCACCTAAACTCGACACACGACGTGGCTAATACCCCTGCAAACATGAAATTGTGGAACTACTCGAGTACAGGAAATTGTGCACTTTGTGGATGGAAGACGTGCAACATCAAGCATATCCTAGCCGTCTGCAGTGTAGCAAGAAACTCCAAAAGGTACAACTGGAGACATGACAACGTCCTACGTGTTATAGCCGGAGCCTTGCTTGACCAACTCAAGATGTACAATTCCTCAGGTTCCACGACCTCCGACAAAGAATGGATACGGTTCAAGTCGAAGGATGGGAAGTATGAACACCCAAAGCCAAAGTTGAGGAAGGAGAGGCCCTTTGAGAGAGCGAAAGACTGGAAGCTGATATGGGACGAGGATACACTACCTGCCCAGTTCCCACAGCACATCTACAACACAGCGGAGAGACCCGACATTGTAGTATGGTCGGATAGTTTGAGAGAAGTAGTTCTGATTGAACTGACTTGTGGTGACGAGAGTAACTTCAGTGACCAAGTAGCACGTAAAGAAGCACGCTACAACAGAGAACTGATTCCTGGCATCGACGGGTGCGGTTGGAAAGCTCTGCTCTTTACGGTAGAGATTGGGTGTAGGGGCTTCTGGCACCATACTGTACCAGCTCTATTTAACTACTTTGGATTGGCGAAGAGAACGAAGAATAAAGCCCTGAATGAGGCTGCTTTGGTCGCTCTTCGATGTTCCTATACAATCTGGTTAGCCCGCGACAACAAGAAATGGTCTACCTGCTACGACATCGCAAGGAGGCCAGAAGTCATAAACTGTGAAAGCTGAGTGTTGGGCCCATAAAACATGTTGAAAGCTGCAACCAGGATCACAAGTACTGGTGGAATACAGAATGACTTGCTAATCAGATTGATAGATGGAGTTGCTATCGAAAGATATAGAACTCAGGTAAACATCTAACCTGTAATAGTTTATTGTTGATTTTTCTCATAAGCGGGATAAAAATGCTTTATTTCATTTCATTTCATATTATTGTAACGACAATCTCATGCAGGCATCATGAAGTATAACGAGATGATGATATTAATTTGGTGCTGCTTGGGTGCCCTGTGTAACTCGAGCATGGCATTTTCTCTTGGCATCTTACAAAACTATATTTACAGTGCTTTTTTGTATTACTCACCTCGACCTGAACTTATGGTAAGTTATTACTTGATGTTGCTTGTCACTTTTATTTACGTAATTTGAATGGTGAAATTATTTTATTTACCTCATAGTCCTATGACGTATAAGCCATAAGGTGGTATTTTGAGGTTTCTTGATCTATAAATTTGAGCCGTACAAATTAAGATTGATATACCTAACAATCGAGTGTAAACTGTAAACCAATTTCAACAAAGTTAAAAATGACTAAATTTTTCATTCAGCGTGAGTCAGTTAATTGATTAATTTCAGCAAAGTGGTCAAGATATAATGCACGTGTTTGCCACAACTATATTGATGGTAGGATGTGGTTTCTGTTGGACTTTGGGTTACATTAAACTCGTCCTCTCACCCCTTGTCTTCCATATGTGAGTCTTGTTGTAATTTTTGAGGTGCATTGAAAAATGAACACTAATTTTTACCGAGATGTATGCGATAACGCAGGAATGAAAGGTAAAGAACTTTAATTTGTATTAACGTACGTATACTTATACTTATAGTCGATTATGATGAAACTAAGTTAAAAATCTGTTTCAAGATGCGCAACCGTGATTTTGATTGGAGCAACAATAACTCTGAAATGGTGGTACCCGACAATTGCAGCTTTCACCATCTACTGGTAAGAAAAAATACATTAATTATCTAAATGAATCCAGTTGTGATCAATTTCGAGTTGCGTAATTACCTTAATTCCCAAAAATTTGGGCGACAAAAAATTTGAGCGGGCCTCTCGCCCAAATTTTTTGCAGACCAAATTAATTGCATAAATCTTTTCCGTCTGCTAAATTTATTGCTAACCAAACTTTTGGAATTTGGCATGTGGCCCTGAAATCTATAGAAAGATGGCTTTTTCTTCATATCCAAGTGAAATAATATTTGAAATTTTAGTTTTCTAATCTGTCATTCATGGCTTGACCAAGTTAAGTAAAAAGGCTTATATTTTAAATGAATAGAAATAACTGGAATAGCTAACAGCTACTAATAAAACAAATGGCTAGAGCCAGAGGTACGGATAGCTAGAGATTTAAACAAGATCTGCAAATGGATTATCATCCACCGTAAAGTCTGATCTACAAGCATCAGTTATACCCGACTTCTCAAAGCCTTTTCTTGTGTCATCTGGCCTCCCTTTTAAATATACAAAAAGTTCGTTGATCCAACGAGCGTGTACTTCACGGATCACTGTCAAGCGGGTATCAATTTTCACATTGTCTGATGAAACTCCTCCATTGAGCTGACACACTATGTTTTTCGAGTACCAATCTTCGTACTTATTGCGCATGAATTTCTTAGCCAGTCCATTGATAGATATGTCCAGGGGCTGTAGATGATGGGTCATATTAGCTGGAACTTTCTGAAGGATGCAGTTGTTGGCTGTCATCAGATCTTTTAGTGTCTGTGTGTGTTGGCGCCCGAAACACATCTGATATCAGTAGCGCTTTCTGCTCAGGGTTGTTGATGGAGGCTCGAACTGATTCTATGTGGGGAAGAAGGATTTTCTTAAAGAACTGGACACTGGTCAAACCTTTCGACCATCTGGTGAGGCGTCATAATGATAATTGTATGTGAAAGGGGTATGATAAGATATGCTGAGTGTAAGTAGACTAAACTATCTGATTGAAAGACTAAATATCACTATTGTATATCTATCATTTTGTACTGTGCCATCATCACTGTATTTTTTAGTAGTTATTGGGCAGATCGTAAATTTCATAACGTGAAACAACTCAGACTACCACCTACATGCTTAAAATTGAAAGCAAAATGACTGGAATAATAAGGAATAATAATGAACTAAGGCAAATATCTAACTGAAATTTTAGTGGAAAATCGTTCATTTTTCGAAGAATTTGTGCCCAAATTTTCGGTCGCCCAAATGAGTTCAAATTTTCTGCCCAAATTTTTCGGGCTCAAATAAATTGTGCTCAATATAATGGCACACAAATTTTTGGGAACTAAGGTATTTGTCCCTCCCTCCTCTGAATCAGGCTATTATCTAATAAAAGACAAACCTACTGATGCGGCGTAGTATTTTTAAATTTCCTGTTCACTGTGATATTATCATTAGAAAACTTTCTTCAGTGTGATTAATGGTTACTTGACGGGAGTGCTGCACGTTTACTTCTCCGAAGTTTTGAGTAAGTTAGATCCGAAGAAGTCAGGACTCTACAACGGCCTCTACGGGTTCTTCTTTGGGGTGTCTGGAATTCTCGGTGAGATTGTTTTAAAGATTATATCACAATTTTCATGTTTTTAAAAACTAAAACCCAAATTTCTCTATAATAGCAGATTCGTTTGTGGAGAAAAAGTAAATAGTTTTCGGATTTCGATAGCCATCGAGATCCTATAACGGATAGTCTATAAATAACTGAACATCTAATCCTTGTTCATCACCTCAGCAAATATCATAGCTGGTCTATACATCAATCCTGCGAACAACATGGTCAACAAATTCCCTCATCCTGTCGACAACTCCGATTATTCAAATCCAAGCAAAGTGTTTTTAGTGTATAATGTCAGCGTGAACTCTTATGACGCGGACCCTGATATGATAAACAGAACTTGCGACTCTTGGTAAGTCTTAAGTTGTACTTTGTTATAATGATATGAATCCTCATTTTATGATTCTTTGAATCAGAAATGTTTTGGTGAGTAACTCAATATAATACACTTATACACAATATAATACACTTCACGGAGATGTCAGATACGATATTTACTATCAGATTTTTATGGCGCAAAGTGGATGTAAGATGTAACAGTGCCATTCAATTTTTTCATCATCAGTATTTTTTTCGTAAAATATTATCTTATTAGTGCAAGGTGTATTAATATATTAATAAACCTTCTATGATTCCTATAAGTATATTATGTTACTTTTGAAGTGTTTTCTGGTGGTTTATTGTTAATCGTAGTGTGGTATATATCAATAAATCTTCCTATGATTACTATATGATATATTTAAAGTTTTAATTGTTCCTAAATATATTTGTTTTTGAGATGATTTAGTTGTTTGTACTTGCTGGATATTTTCACCTCACCCTTTAGAACCGCTCTGACATGGTTAGTACCTGACACTTGTGTCAGTTGCTAACCATATGGGCGGTATACAAGCACATTATTTCATTTCATTTCATTTCATTTCATTTCATTTCATTTCATTTCATTTCATTTCATTTCATTTCATTTCATTTCATTTCATTTCATTTCATTTCATTTCATTTCATTTCAAATCATAGATGTGAATATAAATATTTTATAGCAACTATTCCAGGCTGATATATGGAATGTTCTACGCCGTCTGCTATTTACCTGGCATTTACTTCATCAGTTGCAAAAAATCTTCAGAGGTAAAATTGTATTTTATTTTGATCAGGGCACATATTGTATGATATATGCTGTGGACAGCTGAAAAAGTTTTACTAATTTAATAGACTAATAATAAAATTTGTTTGTTAAATCTGTTGATCTGTAACAATATATTTGTATCACTTTTAGAAACGAAAGCCCGGCACAGAAGAGTTAGAATCTGCTTACGATACATCAGTTTTACTGGATAACGAGCAGGATATGATCAGTGGAGGATACGGAAGTACAAACGAATACACCCACAGTTTTGAGAAGGTATGTGGCACATGATACGTCTTGTGACGTCATCATGTGACACGTCATGTGACGTCATCGTGTGACACTTCACACGTCTTGTGACGTCATCATGTGACACTTCACACGTCTTGTGACGTCATCATGTGACACTACATGTGACACGTCATGTGACACATGATACGTCTTGTGACGTCATCATGTGACACTACATGTGACGTCATCGTGTGACACTTCACACGTCTTGTGACGTCATCATGTGACACTACATGTGACACGTCATGTGACACATGATACGTCTTGTGACGTCATCATGTAACACATCATGTGACACTTCACACGTCATGTGACGTCATCATGTGACACTTCACACTATATGTGACACGTCACCATTATCGTTTACGGATATACGGTTGTCAAACACCAAACTCAGGGTAATTTGACAAAATTATTTTTGTAAAAATATGCGGTGGAAGTTTCACGGAAAGACATACAATTTAATCAAGGTCACATACGGGTTCAAAGTAAGAAGGGCAAAATTCCCTCCCTGTCAGGAGTTAATAATTCTTGCAAACATTAACAATCATATTATTTATCTCAGGAGTTGGATCTAGGAGGGAGCTTCGCGTTCTTTTTTGGTTCCAAAGAAGCATACCTGTATCTTAGCTGTACTGTTTCTATCGGAATTGCTAGCTTGGTGTCAGCAGATCTGTACAAGGTTCGATTCATTGATTCTTCCTGTTTTCTATCATCGCCCATCTTATCATATATACCTTAAAAGCAATATCTACAATGTAGAGTCTACATTGTCATAAGTCTATTTTACGACATAATCTTATTCTTTAGTAGGGTATTGATACTGCTTTGATAAAAATAAATAATACACTGTACTCAATTAAAATATTAACATTAAAATACTTCAGTCCTATGGAATGAAAGTGTACGATAATGACAGATTTTACAACTTGGCTGGCACCGTGGTACCTTTAATTGGGGGAGCTGGTAGAGTTTTGTGGGGTGCTCTCTACGATCATCTCTCTGAGAAGTGCATCTTTGCTTTCAACAGTCTTGTCGTTACTGTTTCTCTCGTCGGTAAGGGATATTTACATGGAATTTTAACCTGTTCATACAGTATCTATATTGGTTGTAGATAATGGATTGTCATCGAAATTAGAGCTTTTAAGACACGTCATATAGTTGAAAATTAGGATATTAGTGATTTGTAGTCATGACTTTGAATGTAAGAGTAGTCAAGTATTGAAGGTTTCTAGTCAGACTCCTAGCTTGGTTGTCAGCTCAAGGATGATGATTTGAGGGAGCGAAATAGGAGTGTGCACTGTGCAACCAAATGAGTTTTAAGGGCATACTTACGAGAGCTGCTTCAAGAAATAAATTATAAAACAATCGATATCATAACGTGCTCAATTACAGGGATGACAATGACAAGACATTATCCCTTTCTGTACATCTTCTTTGTAGCAACAACTGCTAGCAGTCTTGGAACCATGTCCTGCCTCGCCCCCGCCATCAAGAAAAGGTTTGTTATAAAAGTTCTGTGTCCAAAAGTTACTTGTGCAACAGCGGCTTTGACTGTTTGAGTTCGAATCCAAGTTAAATACGATTATAAGTAAGGAATCATGACCCTCAAAGGTGTTTCTGATCACATCTCCATCCTAACACTAAAGTTAAAGTCCAAGTAACAACAAATTAACCACCACCGCCCCAGGTTCAGCAACTGCTCCTTCTCGCTGATACTGGGTCTGGCTATGTGTGGGGAGGTGCTGGGTACTCTCCTCTACATGCTGGTAACCAGCGCTCTGGCTCACTTGTTATCGGATGCTGTGATGCTCTACATCCTAGCTGTGCCTCCTTGTATTACCTTCCTCTTGTCTCTTGTTACCTTGTGAGCGCATCATACGTAACGCGTTATACGTAACGCGTTATACGTAACGCGTTATACGTAACGCGTTATACGTAACGCAACATATAGGTAACGATCAGGACTGTTTTAAAGAAGGAGACGCGTGATCTGTGGTTGAGGTGGCTGGTGCTGGCGCTGGCTTAGTCAACTGTTAACAGGAACCAAGATTCAGAACAAATAATGACTGATAAGATCGTCATGAGCTGTTTAGAAATAAGTGGGATACTGACAACATGCGAGATTACTAGTTTTCTAAGTTTTCATAATATGGAGAGTGTCTGAATTTGCTTAACAACCGGATACTTGATTAGAAAAAAGTAAGGATAGTCTTTTGTACGACCAACAGAGGTCTTAACTTTGATGTTTGACCCGAACAACCAGCTAAATGTTATTTGTATTTAATGTGTAAAATTCTAAATGGACATCACCTGGGCCACGTGATTTGTTTATCTTGCATGATAGAGTTGCCACCATAGTACTCAGTACTTGGCAGTTGAAAAATTATTTGATAAGCTATCAATTAATCCTAATTTCATTAATGAGAGTGTTTCGGAAATGTCATATCACAATTTTTGCATAAAGCCGAAGAGGTTTTACATTTAAAGATTTGATATTTGATTTTGCATTAGCGATTAATAGTATTTGTTTCGAAGATGTTATATCATAATCTCTGCATGAAGCTCAAGATCAAGATTTGTTTTGACAATTAATTGATTTACTTTTTGCAGCTATAACTTTTTATTTCTATACGATTTTATATAAACCCCTCGTGTTATTATTAGAATTATTCCTATGACTCATTGATACTCTTGCATTTGGCTAATTTACGAAATATCGAGAAATAGACAGTTTATGAAGAAAAAAGCCAGTGCATGGATTGCATCGGCTTAGACTTATCACTTAAAGGTGCACACCGAGGTAGGGAAAATTTTTTAACATTATTGTTTATTTACTCAATCTGATAGTCAAGCGAATATATTAACTTCCGCAAAATTCAGGGACACGTAATACTTCTTTACTGAGGTCTTGATTTCCATAAGAGTCCTCCTACAAAGGGAGGCTCTCCAGAATGTGTGAAGTGTGCTCGTGTCTGATATCGCAGGAATAGCAATCTCACACAGGCTGACTTTCAGCTTCACCGCCACCTGCTTGGGTGATGGTTGATGTTAATAAGTATTAGCGGTGTCCCGCCTATTTAAAGCTCAAACTAGCTCTTTCCTAGTTTACACCGGAGGCGCCATATAGAGAATTTCCTTGGATAGCTGTCACGTGAAAGTCACGAGATATCGATTGAGCGCGTTTACTGGTTGGATATATAGCGCGTGATATTGAGCTACTATGCAGAGGCAATTATGCACCATATAAGGTGTAATTACTTGCTGCATCTAGCACGTGATATTTGCAAAGCTAATTACACATCCATATAAGGCGTAATTAAGAGCTCGGAGTTGCAAAGGGAGTTGTAATAGCGTGAAATTGGCTGGTTGATTAGGTGTAACAGTACATACAAGTAAATGTTTCGTAAACTATGTTGGGGTATAAATGCAACTTTGGTTTTAGAATAGTGTGTGAGGACGCGTACAGATGGAAGTGCACTGATTTGTTGTTCAAATGGTTAGAATAAAGATTTGTCCGAACCGGCTGAAATCGTTGTTACGTTGAAAACTGTCTCGATTACCTTGTTACCTAGCTAGTAACTTGGTATGAAGAGAGAGTGGAAACCAGACGAAAGTAAGACGAAGTCTCGGGGATCGGGGATGCAGCCTACAATGGGCATGAATATATAGAGGGCCCTAGGTTGCTCCCCAGATCGGCAGTCCAATAACACATTTTCTGAAAATTTCTAATTTTCAAACTTTTCATCAGTCCTACCACCTACGCCACTGCTATGTAATAAGCGCCATGAGCTGGCACAGAATTTGTTGTCTCTGATTTTGATAAATTTGGTACCAACCAAAAGTTGCCTCTAAGTGTGAATAATGAAAATTCACCGTTTATCAGCGCTTGACTAGAAAAAACCACAACTTTCTCACTGAATTTTGATTGAAAAATGCCATTAATAGTTTATAACTTAAGTAAAACAAAATTTAGGTAAAACAAAATTGAAATTTTATTGCCAAATTACAATGAATAAATATATTTGAACATCAGCCCCGACCGATCAGCAATATCTACAATAATGTAGAGTCTACATTGTCATAAGTCTATTTTCCGACATAATCTTATTCTTTAGTAGGGTATTGATACTGCTTTGATAAAAATAAATAATACACTGTACTCAATTAAAATATTAACATTAAAATACTTCAGTCCTATGGAATGAAAGTGTACGATAATGACAGATTTTACAACTTGGCTGGCACGGTGGTACCTTTAATTGGGGGAGCTGGTAGAGTTTTGTGGGGTGCTCTCTACGATCATCTCTCTGAGAAGTGCATCTTTGCTTTCAACAGTCTTGTCGTTACTGTTTCTCTCGTCGGTAAGGGATATTTACATGGAATTTTAACCTGTTCAAACAGTATCTATATTGGTTGTAGATAATGGATTGTCATCGAAGTTAGAGCTTTTAAGACACGTCATATAGTTGAAAATTGAGATATTAGTGATTTGTAGTCATGACTTTGAATGTAAGAGTAGTCAAGTATTAAAGGTTTCTAGTCAGACTCCTAGCTTGGTTGTCAGCTCAAGGATGATGATTTGAGGGAGCGAAATAGGAGTGTGCACTGTGCAGTGTGCAGTGTGCAGTGTACACTGTGCACTGTGCAGTGTGTACTGTGCAGTGTGTACCGTGCAGTGTGCAGTGTGCACTGTGCAACCAAATGAGTTTTAAGGGCATACTAACGAGAGCTGCTTCAAGAAATAAATTATAAAACAATCGATATAAAACACCGCTCTCCATATCATAACGTGCTTAATTACAGGGATGACAATGACAAGACATTATCCCTTTCTGTACATCTTCTTTGTAGCAACAACTGCTAGCAGTCTTGGAACCATGTCCTGCCTAGCCCCCGCCATCAAAAAAAGGTTTGTTATAAAAGTTCTGTGTCCAAAAGTTACTTGTGCAACAGCGGCTTTGACTGTTTGAGTTCGAATCCAAGTTAAATACGATTATAAGTAAGGAATCATGACCCTCAAAAGTGTTTTTGATCACATCTCCATCCTAACACTAAAGTTAAAGTCCAAGTAACAACAAATTAACCACCACCGCCCCAGGTTCAGCAACTGCTTCTTCTCGCTGATACTGGGTCTGGCTATGTGTGGGGAGGTGCTGGGTACTCTCCTCTACATGCTGGTAACCAGCGCTCTGGCTCACTTGTTATCGGATGCTGTGATGCTCTACATCCTAGCTGTGCCTCCTTGTATTACCTTCCTCTTGTCTCTTGTTACCTTGTGAGCGCATCATACGTAACGCGTTATACGTAACGCGTTATACGTAACGCGTTATACGTAACGCGTTATACGTAACGCAACATATAGGTAACGATCAGGACTGTTTTAAAGAAGGAGACGCGTGATCTGTGGTTGAGGTGGCTGGTGCTGGCGCTGGCTTAATCAACTGTTAACAGGAACCAAGATTCAGAACAAATAATGACTGATAAGATCGTCATGAGTTGTTTAGAAATAAGTGGGATACTGACAACATGCGAGATTACTAGTTTTCTAAGTTTTCATATGGAGAGTGTCTGAATTTGCTTAACAACCGGATACTTGAAGTTAAAAAAAGTAAGTCTTTTGTACGACAAACAGAGGTCCTAACTTTGATGTTTGACCCGAACAACCAGCTAAATGTTATTTGTATTTAATGTGTAAATTTCTAAATGGACATCACCTGGGCCACGTGATTTGTTCATCTTGCATGATAGAGTTGCCACCATAGTACTCAGTACTTGGCAGTTGAAAAATTATTTGATAATTAATCCTAATTTCATTAATGAGAGTGTTTCGGAAATGTCATATCAAAATTTTTGCATAATGCCGAAGAGGTTTTACATTTAAAGATTTGATATTTGATTTTTGCATTAGCGATTAGTATTAATTGTTTCGAAGATGTTATATCATAATCTCTGCATGAAGCTCAAGATCAAGATTTGTTTTGACAATTAATTGATTTACTTTTTGCAGCTATAACTTTTTATTTCTATACGATTTTATATAAACCCCTCGTGTTATTATTAGAATTATTCCTATGACTCATTGATACTCTTGCATTTGGCTAATTTACGAAATATCGAGAAATAGACGGCTACCTAGTAAGAACCTTCACATAATCATGAGTCTCTCTGGTTAGAGCATGTGAGAACCTCTCTCTCTCTATCTCTCTATCTCTCTCTCTCTCTCTCTCTCTCTCTCTCTCTCTCTCTCTCTCTCTCTCTCTCTCTCTCTCTCTTTCTCTCTTTCTCTCTCTCTCTCTCTCTCTCTCTCTCTCTCTCTCTCTCTCTCTCTCTCTCTCAAAAATTCTCATCAAAAATGTAGTAAAGTCTCAAAAAATTAATTTAGAATTTAATAGGTAAGCAATATCATATTATTAAAGTATCAATCGGAACATCTCATTAAAAACTATAAGTATTACTGTAACTACAAAATAAATCAGTATATCCTCTTGGGAGGGAGTGCTTCTCCTGAAGCGTGGAGTGTGCGAAGCACAGTTTGGTTCCGGTTGCAGATATCCCTGGCCACTGGTAGAAGGTTTTTAAGCGTGGGATTTATCAGCTGGAGGAGTCCATGTCGGAGAGAAGGTAGGTCAATCCTCGCTGCCTCTGCTATGCAGCGCTTCCTGCCGAAAAAGGACTCAGATATCCGACACCACGGCTACACCCACTTGGTCGTAAACCACAGCAGAGGCTTCGTCGACCCCGTCACCGGTGTTCATACGAATACATGTGAGGGCATGTGGTTTCACGCCAAGAGGCACATGCTACGAGGACACGGCAGGACGCGAAGAGACTCCTCAGCCCTCTACATCGCCCTCGCTGAATTCATCTGGCTGAGAAGGAACCACCTGACCCGCTCCGGCCCTTCCGTCAGAAGATATTTTAACCAGGAGCTCCCGCAGTTGATGCGTAGAATTTTTGATTAGAATGTGTTTAATAGTTTTGTAAATATACCGATTGATTATGTAATATATTGCTTACAGTTTAATGAAATTAAATATAATAAATAGATATTAGATATGTGTCTCTGAAAATTATATTGCTCATATATATTATATTGCGATAGTATAATACTAGTATAATACTATCGCAAATATAAGTAGGTAATAAATGATATCATTGAGGTTAGTAGCCCAGCCATAATTCATTGCCCGAATGACCGTGCCCCAGGTGGTTTTGCCCGAGATGTGCCCGAGGTGTGCCTGAGATGTGCCCCAGGTGTGCCCCAGGTGGTTCTGCCCGAGGTGTGCCCGAGGTGTGCCCGAGATGTGCCCAGGTTCTTTTCCCAAGGTTTCCCAATTACCATGCCCGAATTTTGCCCGAGATGTGCCCGAGGTGTGCCCGAGGTGTGCCCCAGGTGGTTCTGCCCGAGGTGTGCCCGAGGTGTGCTTTGTGCCCCAGGTGTGCCCGAGGTGTGCCCCAGGTGTGCCCGAGTTTGTGCCCCAGGTGT